TGTATTGCTGTTTTGGGGTTTCTTTCGTACAGGTAAACTACATGGTTATGTACCCAAACGATGCCATGTATTTGGCAAAAGTGGACGACTGGTCCATGTACGACTTGTCTTGTGTGACGAAGTTCTGCGCAGGAGCTTCCATGTTGCCACCGTCAACCGTCAGAGCCATGAGGAAAATGTTTCCGAATCTTAGTCGACCAATTGGACAGGTTATGATCCTTCCTCTAAATTCGAAAAAAAATTTTCTTCCATAGGTATTTTAAAATTACATGAATTCATATTAAATTGTATAAGCTACAACCATACTTGAACCTTCTTCTTAATGGGTGTGCGAGAAATTTTCCATGTAAATGATCTGGTTATTGGCATCAAGAGCCTTTTTTGGATGCACTGAATTGAGACAAGCTCAAGATTAAGCAAGTAGACATTTGTATTGCAAACGATCTCTGAGTGAGATTTCCTGTCGGAAATGGGTCAGATTTTTATCTACACCAGCCACTTATGAGCATACAGTATATTCTTAATCTAGTAAGTGTGAAATTGTGCGAAGAAAAAATTATTGTTTGCCCCCTTCGTTAATTTTCTAGTATTTTAAATGCTGCCGTTCTCTTGTCACGGCTGATTTTTCATCTAGATGTCTCAAAATCAACAAAAATATATTCCTCAACTATAATAGAATATTAAAAATTATTGCCATTGCAAGCATTTGAAGAACTTTCTAACTTTCAGAATGCAATGATGCAGCTCTAATAGTCTACGTGCTATAATAAATACCAGATGCATGATAAAAAGCGAGGATATATAATTTTTATTATTATTTTTCTTAGATATATGGTAGCACAGAAATGCTACTGGCCATCACCTCGAATTCGCTAATGTGCCCCGAAACGGAAGCTGGGATCGGAGTGCTGAATCCATACACGAAATGCAAGGTATGTGAGATAAATTTTGCTCATTCTGCCAATACAGGTGGACCCCCTCTCTTTACGACGAATTTAATGGGACCATAAGAAAAAATGTCGTGGAAAGAATTTCGTTGTCGAGAACTGTAACATGGGGAGAGAACTTTATGGGATAAAAAAAATCGTTTTACAGGGAAAATCCTTGCAGACCAGATGGTTGTAGAGAGTCAAAATTTTCTGATGCAAATTAACCGAATATTAAAGATGATCCCAAAGTACTTGTGAGCAGTTAGGCACTTCCGAAAAATAATGTATCAAAAATTTGTGAATTTTGATGCATCATGTTTTTTTCCTTTACAATACAAAATAAAATTGGAGGGCCTGTATTTATTTTCAAGGTTGTGAGCTTGGAGGATAACAGGGCGTTGGGACCGAACGAGCGTGGAGAGTTTTGGATTCACACTCCTTTTCTGATGAAGAACTACCGAAATCGCCCGGACGTGAGATAATGCATTTTCTCTTCTTTTTTTTTACCTACAATTAATGCAAGATAAAATTTCATTTGAATAGTAAATTGAAAGACGTTCTTTGCAGTTGACGGAGAACGCGGTGACACCCGACGGATGGTACAAAACTGGGGATTACGGTTACTACGACAACAATCAACATCTGCACATCGTCGATAGGGTTAAAGATCTGATCCATCTCTCCAGTGGAGAAATCGTAAGTTTCAGACAGTAAAATTCTGAGTTTCTGACTTTTGTTTTTTTCTTAGAGCCTCTTGGTAATGATCGCTTTTGCAAGCTCGTAGAATATATAGTATAGCAACAGATACAGGACGCGAATCTTGTAAAAAACACTTATTAAAAATAAAGCCACATATAAATGCTTAAAGCATCGGTGATTATTTTTAGGATTGGAATTTGCACGATCTTTAACATAGTTTTACTCGGAATTAAGCCTTCTTTTCTAGGTGGAAGCAATAAATATCCATATAGACTGATGCTCTTACTTCGATAAACTCATGAATCATGAAAGTGATAAACTACATTGATGAATCTTTGCAAGATGCTACTTCTCCCAGGTCCTGGAGAAATCCCAGATTTCGATCCCATTGTGTTGATTCTGCATATTATCNGTTCAAAGTAAGTACAGTTAAATTCTGCTCTCATTTTATGATTCATCGATGGCGAATGTATTTTCGTGATGATGATCCGCATTTGAGTACAGTATACACGCCACATCCTGGTTTTGGGCAGCAAAGTCAATAAGCTAGTGAAAAAACAGCCTGGGTCACGAAGATCATTGATTGTCCTAGTATGAATAAATCCTTTAAACGTGGATAAAAACAGGAAATGCATGAAACCTGTGAAAATTTTAAGAATTTTGAAAACATGCTTTCATGTTGTTCAAATCGAAATACTGTACGCGGAAATCGAGGATATTTTCACGAATTTACAAAATTAATTCTTCGAGTCGTTGTGTAGCTATAATTGCAAGAAAATTTCCCGTGAAGACTGCGCCAGTGGATATTATCTCCGTATTCTACGTTTTCCAAAGGCGGTTTTCAGTTGAGTAAATGTTTATCAAACATTTGTTTTTATAATCGTCTGAAGATCGAGCGAAAAATGTCCTGCTGCACATAACTGGAGGAGCCGAGTTCGTCGACAGTTTGGTGACGAGTCCAGCTGGAAAGATTTACAGAATCAAGCTGAGGGAGGATTTTAGCAACCGGCAACAAATGCGCGTTTGAGGCAAAAACTCGGAATCGTACAACATCACAGACTATTTTATTTAAAATAATTTTAGCAGATCACCGAATGAAAAGAAGAAAAAATGCGCTGTTGAGTTCTTCCAATAATGCAAAGCGCGAACGTCGGTTCTCATCAACAGTTATTCGAAGAAATATGTACAGTATATGACATTCGATACGAAGCACATGTCGCGTTCAACGGTAATTGTTTATTGGGGTTTTCGGTGATGACCTTGTATGTGCTATGTCATGTGTAATCCAGTAATAAACGTTCCCCAGCACCCAGAAACGAATTTAATCCCTGACACGGGTGTGGGTTTCAAAAGCTGTTTTGTTTCATTCTGGGAGTTTACCAGCAGCAGGAGCCTACATGTTTCAAGTTTATCATTTCTGCTTGATATTTGAGAGTTGTATTTTTAGTATTTATTTTTTTAGGCTTTACGTAAAAAATGTGCCAGTTCTTGTCTAAATAATTTCGGAAAACTTGGATATTACTTGAAGTGATTTTTAAAAGAATTTTTTTGTACGCACACTTCCTGGAAAATGAAAATTTTGGCAAGCGATCCAAAGCAGAATTATTTTGCACGAGGATGATTAAATTATCTCGACATTGAGCTTGTCGAATGTAGAAATCGTTTCATGCAGGACCATCCTCATCATAATGCATCAGTCCGTCTGAAATAAATTTTGATTCATTGATCTTTCAATCTCTTTCCAATCGCGGAATTTTTTTTTAGGACGTTTATGCGGGTCTTATAACTGGCTGCAATTCATTCGCCTTGACATCAGAGGGCCACATGTAGGGATATTTTCACAACAAGGGTGTAAACGTTTGAAAATTCCATTCATCCACATCAGTATAGGTAGGAGCTCACTTAGTGACTTCAACATTTGTGAAAATGTGGTAAGGGTGGATGCCCGACTGAACGCCATCGAACCAAACCGTACTGAGTGAGTTTGTATGAATTTTCTTTTTTTGTTTGTGCGGCAGCGAAATCAATTGATTGCCAAATCTGATTCTTTTTTGCACAAATAAAGCCATTTTCCTGTCGTGGAATTTTGATCGACATTCTGTCATATAGTCTGCCGATCGAGTAGATCAGTTGGCTCACTGTCTGCCGTTCAGTTGTACGGCACCCAGTTGCTGGTCTCGGCTCCTCACTCGTGGATTAAACAGTGTCAGTTCGATACGTGCGCTTGTGGATGAACTTTCCGCATCCTTGCTTAATTGTGTATATAGTAACCTTCTGCATTTTCTGGCTCATTCTTTCCCTTCAGAAATCCAACACAGAAGGGAAACTTTTTTTTAATATTTTGGCCAGTATGACGGACTGTAAAATTATAACGAGTCCTTTGCCGAAACGTGACCCGGGTTTGGCTCGAGACGCGAGTTTTTGGAGTTTCGCGGAGTCGAAAATCAAGAAGACCATCGCCGATCAAGGAGAAAAACCTCTTTGGGTAA